ACTGTAGTTCATTGCTATACAGGTAACATTACGCTGATAGCTCCAGTGGATCAGGATATACCAGTAGTGTGTTGTTGTATGTCAGGACATCAATTGATGTATACATTGAGTTATTCTTCATCACTCCATTCACTAACCAGTAAACATCAGTTGAAGGATTTATATCAATAGTTGTGAGACAATCAATACGATATTGAGTGTTATTGAGTTGTGTAATGGATGAGACTAGTGTCCAATTGATTGAATTAATAACTAGAAATACATCAACAATGTTAATAGTTCATTAAAAGGTGCAGTAGCAATACCTGTGGATAAGGTCTGTACACTGATTGTACTAACAGGTCCCAGTAATTGTTGATAGGCTCTGACTGCAATGTTATAAGTTGTTTTTGTACTCAGTCCATTCAGTGTGATTGTATTATTACTACTTCCCTCCACCTGTACTGTCTGCACAGTGTCTGTGTCACTAGTGACATTGACTACATATCCATCAGCATCAGATGAATCAAGTGCAGTCCAACTGACAGTGATAGTGGTAGCTGTCTTGCTGACCACAGTAAGAGAAGAGGGAGCAGTTGCTGGTACTAATATACATATATGTAAAATTATGTTGTATTCATAGTCATTACCTTTTATTGTTAAAGTACGTGTTCTATCATCACCATCACTAAGATTATCCAGTACACACTGATACATTTGATCTCCAGTGGTTGATTGACTGACTGATCCACTACTGACAATCATTCCATCCCATGTGATATCAGCAGTATAACTTAGAGTGTTGGTACTACTCACCAACACAGTACCAGGACAAGGATTATGATTAACTCCATCTTCACAATTAGTGTAACTAGCCAGTGTAGTACTACCAATGCTCAAACTAATACCATAGCGATTGTGTCCAATTTTAGTACAATTCAGTTTGTATTCCTGAGGATATACTGTCATGTCAGAAGGAAGATCAGCAACAGTAAATGATTCTATCTCTGCAAATCCTACAAATGAAAATTGTTACATCAGTAAGTGATTATAGTCTCCTCTTACTGAATATATTAGCAAAGATGATGTTAGTGTTAAGATTTGAACAATCAGTGGGTAGACAACACTTGTACCAGCCTTCTTGAGCTGCTGGTAGTGACTGAGCAAGATAAAGATTGAGAGTAGCATTAGGTGAAGTGACATTAGTACAACGAAAAGGATCACTGGCACTATTATTGTTACAGTCAACAGGATCATCATCAGGACCAGCAACTCTAACCCACTGACCAGTAGTTAGATTAGTACCAGGTAACACACATGATATAGCTTCATTAGCTGCATTGACACTATTGTCCCAAAAATATGATCCATTAGGATAACAGTTTCCATTATTTCCTAAGTAGATACCTATAAAATCAATACTTATACATTATATTAATATTAAAGTTAAATACCTTCTTGCTGACAATGAATGAATACACTGATTGCACTACTAGCAGGTCCCAGTAATTGTTGATAGGCTCTGACTGTGATGCTATAAGTTGTTACTGCTCTCAGTCCATTCAGTGTGATTGTATTATTACTACTTCCCTCCACCTGTACTGTCTGCACAGTGTCTGTGTCACTGGTGACATTGACTACGTATCCATCAGCATCAAATGAATCAAGTGCAGTCCAACTGACAGTGATAGTGGCAGCTGTCTTGCTGACCACAGTAAGAGAAGAGGGAGCAGTTGCTGGTACTAATATTATTGGTAACAAGAATTATTAGCATTCATAAACATTACCTTTTACAATTACATCACGTGTTCTAGTAGGTTGATCAGTAACTTCCACTACACACTGATACATTTGATCTCCAGTGGTTGATTGACTGATTGATCCACTACAGACAGTCATTCCATCCCATGTGATATTAATAGTATATCTTAATGTGTTGGTACTACTAACTAACACAGTACCAGGACAAGTACTACTTCCATCATCACAGTTAGTATAACTAGCCAGTGCAGTACTACTAATGTTCATACTAATACCATACAAATAGAATCCAATTTTAATACAATTCAGTTTGTATTCCTGAGGATATACTGTCATATCAGAAGGAAGATCAGCAACAGTAAATGATTCTATCTCTGCAAATCCTACAAATGAAAATTATTACATCAGTAAGTGATTATAGTCTTCTCTTACTGAATATATTAGCAAAGATGATGTTAGTGTTAGGATCTGAACAATCAGTGGGTAGACAACACTTGTACCAGCCTTCTTGAACTGCTGGTAGTGACTGAGCAAGATAAAGATTGAGAGTAGGATTAGGTGAAGTGACAGAAGTACAACGAAAAGGATCATTGTCACTATTACTGTTACAGTCAACAGGATCATCAGTATCAGCAACTCTAACCCACTGACCAGTAGTTAGACTAGTACCAGGTAACACACATGATATAGCTTCATTAGCTGCATTGACAGTTTCATCCCAAAAATATGATCCATTAGTATAACAGTTTCCACCATGCCTCAGGTAGATACCTATAAAAACCTATACAGTTGTTATTATACACATTCAGTATCTTACCTGAGGAAGGTGGACATTGACTAATAACTTCACTGACACTCAACAAGAAGACAACCACTACCAGAAGAGACATCATAGTGCCAGCAACTTCATTTAAAAGTAAACAAATCTATACAGCCGTGAATATTATTGCTTTCTTTTTTCATGCTTCAATGACAGCATTATTGTACTAATAGAACTAAAGCATATTTCTACTAACACAACAATAAACTTTATGCCTTTACCTTGTGTGTTGACCAAACCAGATCACAGAGTGCGCCTTCATGGGGCATCCCAAGACCACGATCAATGGTTCTGATCTATTGAGGAGGAAAACATAATTAGAAAAAAATTAATTTTATTTGGTTATTAGTATTCCAATGAACATGAGAATGTGAGCAGGAAAGTGTCCTATGCCAAATAAAGGAATGAATTAGTTTCCAAAATTAATGTTTTCCTTAAGATCAAAATCATACAAATAGTATTATGCAATGGATGACATCTT